AATCCTTAAGAAAGAAAGTAGAAAGGAACAAAGGAGACAAGAAAAAGAATTATTCTCAGAGTTCTATTCAGTTACTATTGCCCCCAAATGAGATCCCACCCATGACAATGCCACCCACAAAATAGGGACAAACAATGACCATGTAATCAGATGTGGCAAGAAATTGGCCAGAAAAATGGGTTTCTCTTTTCACAACTGTGCTTGGAAAATTGACCATAGGTGGTATCTAAAGAAATTTAATTAATACTGTGCCTCTCTTAGCAATGCATATACCTGGGAGCCAGGTAACACCAGGACACCTTTATCAATAAACAAGGTCTAGAGGAGACAGTTGAGAACCAGAATGTCAATGGTCAGGACACAAAGAGTGCTTTAAAAGAAACAGGAACAGGGGAGCTCTACTTTTGCTCCACTTAGATTAAACCTATAGAATATCTGAGGGTCAAATCATTTACCTCTAGATTAAAACCAAACTTATTTCATAGATCTGAAACACCCACCTTCTAGAGATGAGGAAATGAAGCCACAGGAACCTATGTAGACTTGCCCAGACTGGCAATCAGTGTATTATTGGAGATGTTAAAACCTGGGTAAGTTCCTTTGTTTGTGTTTTTCCTAATAACCTTTAAAAATATTTTTAAAGCGGGGGGGGTGAGAGGGGAAATATTTTTAAAGCATATCAATTCTAGGTGTCATGACTGGGGGCAGAACAAGACAGAGATCACCAAATTAACAATGGTGAATAACTGCTCTAACCAGAATTTGGCTCACTTGAGAAAAGTTGTCTGTAACTCTTTGTATGCTATGAGAGTGAACATCTCTGATGCATTCTAGATGCCTGTGATGGGGTCTCCACTACAACTATAAAGAAAGTTGTATTCCTTCTAGTTTTATCAATACAGACATTTTATTTTATTTTATTTTATTTGCAGTTTTTGGTCGGGGTTGGGTTTGAACCCGCCACCTCCGGCATATGGGGCCGGAGCCCTACTCCTTTGAGCCACAGGCGCTGCCCAATATAGGCATTTTAAATGCTTTAAATAGTTCACATTTACAACTGTCAAATAATCTGCAATGATAAAGCATCATGAATAACAGGGTTAGCAAGGCGATCCCATCAGTGAACATAATTATTAATTTTGCAAATTTCATGAGACATAATGTAAGATTCTGTGCTACTCAGAGAAATACAAACTCATGTAAGGACAAGATCCAACAATTTGATCTTGTTTGGGAGAAGGCAACATAGCATAGTAGCACTGGGGGGCCTAACACAGCCACACACGAAACTTTTCCTCTCCTCTTCCTTCTAAGACAAAGACACAAAAGATCTGGCTAGCCCCACTCCCACTCCCCTGAGAAGTCCACACAAGCACCAAAGACTCTAACTTTCTAGGCAAGCTATGGATTTTGCCCACACCCTATGGTCCTGTATAAAGGGGTCTCTAACGGCCCCTGGACACAGAAGCCACCTTTTCACTTCCCAGGTGGTTCATCCTCCCCTTTCGATAAACCTGGCCTGAACATCTCTGTGTGCCATTGTTTACACCTTTCAAGTAGAAAGATAATGGGGCTTCCAGTCAAACAGATGTAGATTTCAATCCTACTCTGCCAACTAATAGTTGTGTGAGTTTACACACATTGGCTGTCTCATTGAACCTCAATTTCCTCTTGGAAATTCAGATGAACAGATGAATACTTGCATAGGGTTGCTGTGAGCACAGACTAAAGACCTCATCAGAACTATATTGAAATAGGCTGACAGAAGACTATATTCTGTGTTAGAAAGTGATATATGCCATAAGAAAAGTGTTTTCTGACAGGTGTGGTGGCCCATGCCTATCAATCCTAGCACTTTGGGAGGCTGAGGTGGGTAGAACTCAGGAGTTCAAGACCAGCCTGAGCAACAGTGAGACCTCCATCTCTACTAAAAATTAAAAAAAAAAAAAACTAGCTGGGCATATTGAATGGTGGGTGCGTGTAGTCCCAGCTACTAGGGAGGCTGAGGCAAAAGCATTGCTCAAGCTCAAGAGTTTGATTGAGATTGCTGTTAAGCTATGATGACGCCATGGCAATCTACCCAGGGTGACACAGTGAGACTCTGTTTAAAAAAAAAAAAAAAAAAGGAAGAGTGTTTCTTCAGAGCAGTATTTGTATTAAAAAAAAATAGTACTTGATCCTGTTTTCTGTTTCTAAGGAAGTTATGAAATTCTGAGAGATTCATAAATAGCTACTATTATACATAGCATACTGATTTTGGTGTTTATTTCTATGTATTTCCCTAGTACCATATGGTATCTCTCTTTAGGCTATAAACTATAACAGCACACATTTTTGGCTTGGTGTATTTCTTTTCTTTCTTTCTTTCTTTTTTTTTTTTTTTTTTTTGCAGTTTTTTTGGCTGGGGCTGGGTTTGAACCCACCACCTCCGGCATATGGTGCCAGCGCCTTACTCCTTTGAGCCATAGGCGCCGCCCCAAGGTGTAATTCACTTTCATTTACCAGACATTGATTCTATAGCATGGATCAAAAGCACATAGAGTTGTTTAATATTTGAATACAATTCACAATACAGTTGATACCAATATATGACAGCCTAATTTCAGAGCTCTTGTTGAAGAAAGATAGGAAAGGCAGTTGAACGAACAATTATATTTTTTGGTGTCACTACCTTTTCTAAGTTAAACTCTGGAGCAAAACCTTTCATTCCCTTTGTTAAGAGTACCACTTTTTGTAGATTAGAAAGCTTTGAATTTAAGAATGATGGCACATTATGGAGGACTCTTGGCATAAAACATGCCCTGCCCATGAAATTGCACTCTGTTGGAGAGTAAGCCATTGTTTTAAGTCTTCCTCCAGAAAGCACTCTGTCCATCTGTGCAGGTCTCTACTGGAGGGACAAATTTCATGCATGTTGAGATCAACCCTACAGCGTTTTTGAAAATCATAACATACTCATTAAGGGATTACTTAAATAATTACATCATGTGTTTTCTTCAGAACTAAGTATTAATTTATGTTTTTATACTTATATAGGTTTTTCTTTAAAAAAATGAAGGTATTTGCACAAATATCTGTAAAGGAAGTACCAGCATTTTCTGGAAATAGTGCCTAACTTTATACACTATGCTAGTAAACTTCAGCCCTGGTTAACTTAGTTTCATGTCTCGTAGGAAGAGGCTCCCAAATCCCCCATGTTGGGTTAGGTCCTCTTTCTATGTATTCCTTCATCCTGTATTTGACTGAATTGTTGATTTCTGTCACCCCATTACACCCTAACACTGTAGAAAATACTGTGATATCTAACTTTATGTGCCTAGTTTAGCACAAAGCCATTTATCTGAATTAAAAAACTTAACGATTAAAACAATAAACATGACTACTGTAACTTAACTGGTGCCCTTTTTACAGGCTAGATTGGCCCAAAGTTCTTGTTTGTTTTGGGAGAATATTTTAACACACTTCTAAGAAGTGTTTTTGGTTGTTTCAGAATTCTGCTACTGGGCTGAGTGGGTTCCAGGCACACTTGTCTTGCCTAAAGTAGTGGAATGCATCATCCCTGAGAGTAAGCAAGTGTGTTAGTTTGGTGTTCTGTGCCCTTCTCCAGAAATAACAGTACTTGGTGGTGGTGGTGGCGGAGACTGTGAGCTCCTTCCAGGCAGAAACCATGCAAATTTAAGTTTCCTGGGCTCAGAACTTACAGCTGCCACAAAGTAGGAAGCTAAGTAAGCTTGTGTAGTTTGTAATTGGATGCAGTGCTATGACTGCTTTTAGCTACTAACAGTGAAACAATCTGCAAATTCCCAAAGAAAAATCACCCTAATCCATCCTGGCCCATCCTTTAAGTACCAGCCCGCGTGTTCTATTCATCGTGCCAAAAGCTTTCACTCATTTTTACTTCTCACAAATCTTTTTATTTTTTTTCCTACTTATGATTTGGAGTTTTTGAATGATAGCTGAATCCCAGTGGGGACTGTTTATTCCATGGGATCCCACGGAACCTAAAGGGTTATGGTAATATTACAGAATAATTCTCACGATCCTTTTATATACTGAGTTATATTATGACACAAGGTGTGTAGAGCGTAGTAATCTTAAGTGTCTGGCTTGATGGATCTTTACATATGTCACTTTACATATGCATACACCCCTAATCTACCACCCAGAGCCGGACACAGACCGCTTCCAGGTCTCATTAAATTCTCTCGTGCCTCTTCCCACCGAACCCCCCCCCCCCCAGATAAACATTATTCTAACTTCCCTCACCATCAGTAACTTTTGTACATAATTATTCTGGAGGAAGTGGAAGGTGGGATGACTTCGCCCACAGTCCCGCGGGGCTGGATGAGACCCAGACTCGGTTCTCTCCCTACTGGACACCTCCCGGAAATTCTAGAGCCCTGGCTCCACTCTCGGGGACCTGAACCAGACCTGCCAAGTTGGTAGTTCTCGGAGCGCCCCCTGCCCTCAGTAATGGCCGAAGCGTCCCCAGAGCCCACTAAAATGCACTTCGGGTCCCACCCAGGCAAGGCTGAGCACGCCACAATGGCTGCCTCGCAACCATCCGCGCGGGCCTCACCTCACGTCCCCCACTGTTGGAGCCGACACCCCTCCCACACTTTGGGCAGCCGGGCGTGGCCCTGGGTGCGCCTAGACTGGAAGAGAGAGGCCAGCGGGGGCGCTCCTGGGCCCGGGATGTGGAGCGCCCGCCCATTGGCTGAGCTTCCCCGGCGAGCGGCTGGCCGTAGCGCCCACCTCTCTGTCCTCTCTGCGCCCCCATTGGCCGTTTGCGTCCCGCGGGCGTCCGCTCCCGCCCCCCTCCCTCCCGGATGGAAACCCGGTTGAGGGGTAGGAGGCCGGAGCGGGGAGAAGGCTCAGCGACCCTCCTGGTAAGGGTGCCCGAGAGAGCCAATCAGAAGCAGACGTGGAAAAGAGGCATCCTGCCAGCCAGTCACATCCCGAGGTGCGGTCGGGGCCGTGACGCAATGCAGGGCGCAGCCAATGGGCGTGCCATTGCCCGTCCGCTCTTCAGCAGCCGGCCGGGGGCGGTGGAAAAGCGAGTGAGGAGAGTGCGACGGCGGCGGCGGCGGCGGCGGCGGCGCAGCCATCGCTGGACGGCCCAGGGTAGAGCGAGGCCCGAGCTTCTGTGTCGAGGTGAGAGGCGGGAGCACAGGCGAGAGAGTCCAGGCTGCAGGCGCTTCCTCGCCTGTACGGGTAGCGGCTGCGGGAGCCGGGGCGGCGGGCCGGGCCGAGACGGGGGCGAAGACTCACCGCTCGCTCCGCCCTCGCCCCCGCCCTGGTCTGCCCTGAGGTGGGGGCGCCAGCTTCAGCCAGGGTGGTCTCTGCGCGCCTTGGCCCAGCCGCCGCCCTTCGGGGTACCGAGACCACTAGGGAGACCGAGGAAGGGGCCTGGTTTGCAGCCGCGGAGCCTGGGGGCTCCGCCAGGGGTGGGAGGCCGCGTAGAGGTGGCGAAGGTGGGGCGGGGTGGTTAACGGAGGAGCGGGCTGGCGTGCTGGAGGGAGGGTGGATGCAAAAGGAGGCTTGTGATGGAAGGATTCCGATTCTGGGAGGGAAGAAAGTGATGAGAAATGGGTGATGCTCAGGAAACGGTGCCCCAGGAGAAGGCTCAAGGCCGGGGGAATGTGGTTGGCCTCTGGAAGCGGGCATTCATAGGGGTCGGGGTCAAACCAGCTGGGGGTGAAGGGAGGACAGACTTGAGTTCTGAAGGTTAAGGTCTGGACAAACGGGGACATGTGGATCTGGAGTAAGAGTCACCTGCTGAAACCAGAAGGTGACTGAAAGGAAAAGGTTTTAGGTGAGCTGTGAGTGGAGACTGTTGGACTGAAGCAATTATCTGGCCTGTTAGGAGAAAAGTATACAAGGAACAAACCAGGTAGATTTATGTATGGTAGGTGAAAGCTGTTAATCGTTTACGAGTAGTTGAGCAAGAAACAACTCTCCTGTAGGACTGGGAGAGTCTGATGTGTGAGGTAGGGGTTAGTCAGCCAGATTCATAACTTCATTCACTACTCTTCCAGGGTCAAACATATGGACTTGTTAATTCTCAACTACTGAGGCTGTCCTTTTCTTTTCCTATCCTTCCTCCCACCTCCGTGTCAGTTCATTTCATTGTTTTGCCTTAGCAGTACACAGACTCACCCTCTCAGAAGTAATGGTAGGAGTATTTTTTGCTTTTGATTGGAGGGCAGTGGGAAATCTCTGAATTCTTTACCTTAAAAAACAAAAGTGGAATGTATTGGATTACATGCAGCATCAGAAGATACTCTCAGAGAATCTGCCCTGCAAGGGAGTTTCTCAGCTATCTTGTTTGGTATGTGTAATATAGCATAAAAATGATGCAAGATCTCTTACAGTAGCACAAGTGAGAATTAATGTCTAAGTATGATCCTGTTATTCGTTAGGGTCAACTATTTTGATGTAGTGGAGTTTGAGTATGTATTATGTTTGTTGGGAAATTTTTCAGCCTTTGGAAGAGTTTTGTAGCTAAAATGATTCAAAGTTCTTTTCACTCAGAGGAAAGAAAAACATGGTGTGGTATGTGTGTGTCACTGCTACTTTCTTTCTGTTTGAAGCTTTTGGAATTTTTGTGAGGTGTTGACAGAGACTGGGGGCAAAGAGGAGGCTGATCTTATTAACCAGATCAGCAAAGCATTATAACTAATAGACCATTCTTTAGCCTGTAGAAATAATTTTGTGGAAATTATTTCTTGGTAATGCTATTCACTGTGATCACATTTTACCTTTAGTATAACAGAATACCTAAGTGCTGAGGTGACTTAGGAATAATTTGAGTGGTATGGAGTTAATCAGGGAAGGTTTCCTGAAAGAGGTGAGTTTTGAGCCATCTTTTGAATTAGGAGTTGGGATATGGGTTACTAGAAGACATGAAAATGACATTCCAGTATTTTGGACATGATATAAGCAATTATGGACAAGAGTGACAAAAAATGATTTTTAAGGAGAAGTGAAGATTTAGGGGTGTGGAGATCAGTTAAGCCTGTTGGAACTTAGCTCATAAATGATGATTGTGTATGGTGGCTAGAAGGGAAGAATTAGAACAGTTGATAATGGATTTGAGATAAGAGTACAAAAATGTATTTTGATAGTCATGATAAGAACATGTAGTCAAAGTAAGGAGCTAGAGTAGATTTGATGGTAAGCCATCAGAAAACAGAAACATTTTTCAGTCCTGTATTAGATTATATTTATAATAATAACAAAATTTATTGGATGTTACTTTGTGCCAGACACTGTTTTGAGCTTTCCAAGTATTATCTTTTTTTTTTTTAGACAAAGTCTCATTATGTCACTGTCATTAGAGTGCTATGGTGTCGCAGCTTACAGCAACTTCCAGCTCTTGTGCTTAAGTGATTCTCTTGCCTTAGCCTCCCAAGTAGCTGGGACTACAGGCGCCTGCTGAAATGCCCGGCTATTTTTTGCTTGTAGTTGTCATTGTTGTTTGGCAGACTGGGGCTGGATTTGAACCTGCCTGCTCTGGTGTATATGTCCTGTGCCCTAGCTTCAGAGCCACAGTGCCAAGCCTTTTTTTTTTCCCCCTTATTTTCTTTTAAATGACACCCTGATTTCATGCTTTTGATTATCTATATTTTCTACATGCAGGTGATGAGATTCAGAGAGATTTAATTTGCTCTAGGTCACGTAGCTAGCAAAGGGTAGGTCAAGATGGTCAAAATCAGTCAGTAAATGTTAATTGTGCATCTGCTTGATGCCAGGCACTGTACTAAGTGTTGGGGATTCAAAGTTGACAAGAAAATTCAAAAGGTCAGACCTTATCTTTACTTAGGGATTGTCAGGAGTTTATAGAAAAGCCAGTGTAGAAAGAAAAAGATTAGTTGAAGAGATTTTTGTAGTATTGAGGAATACACTATTTAGAGAAAGCTAGAACAAATAGATTTTTTTTTCCCCCAATTTTTGGCCAGGGCTGGGTTTGAACCCACCACCTCCGGCACATGGGGCTGGAGCCCTACTCCTTTGAGCCACAGACACTGCCTGGAATAGATTTTTAAGAAAGAGGAAGTGGTCAGAAATGAAATATGTAGCTAGAGACTCATGAGAACAACGATTGAGAAGAAACCATTGAGTTAAGGAGAAAAATAATGTAAGTCTCAAGAAAGCTAGAATGAAGGGATTAAATATAAAGGCTGATAGTTAATTGTGTTTCAATTCAAGTTCTTAATACAAATTCCAAAATTTGTTATGATTGTAAGTATGATCAAACTCATAGGAAAGATGATGATATGGCTCATTGTAATGTTTTAATCTTTGGGTGGAAAGATCATGGGTGATTTAAAGTACTTGTACTTTTTTGTATTTTTACAAATTAAAAAAAATTAGCATTATTTGTATAATTGAGAGGACAGCCATTCAACTGAAATGAGTTGAGGGAATCTGTGGGTAGGCTAATCTGAACTTGAGGTAGGAGAAAAAGTGATCTTTCTTCAGTTCCTACTCCATAAGAGCCACCTTGGTAGGCATGTTCCCATCTTGGAAATGACTGGGTTGTCACTGGTAGAAACTGAAACTGCACATACTGAACGGTGGCATTTGCTTAATCTGAGGGATCAGGTTACTAACACACCCTGAATCATGGAGATACAGTTTTGGCTTTCTTGAAAATTTGTTTTCTTAAAGTTTAATAAATGAATTTAAGGGGGAAAAATCCCACAATAAACCACTCATAGAATTGAGTCATTTTAACTCTTCCTTTTGGATATATACCCTTAACCTCATCCTACACATTGGCTCTATAGTTCCTCTCTTCAGTGGGTTTGTAATAGACTTAAGAGTTTCAGTTCAGTAAGAAGATTTGAGAGTGTTGAATTTATGTGTAACTGATCAGCTTAAATTCATCATTGTTTTCTGTTTCCAATTTGAAGAGAGAAATTTCAAGTCAAACTATTCATATCAAATAATTATTCGCAAACAAACTGGTAGTATGTATCCTTAGTGCCGATTTATTCCAGTCTCCTAAATGGAGAGAGAGGAGTCTCTCCGGTAAATTAATCTAGTATTTAGTTTACTTACATTTGGCCCTTAACATTGTGAGAGGAAACAACATTAATGTGATTCCTATTTCAGCTAGGTACTGTACCATATTTCTTAAATAATCACATTTAATTCTCATATAATCCTCTTGTATATATATCCTATTTTACAGACAAGATTGAGGCTGAGAAGTTAGTAATTTTCTAAAGGCTGGAGAGTTAAGTGGCAGATTCAGACCTTGCTTCGCCTAACTCCAGAAGTCATGCATGTGAGACAAATGGCAAGGAGGACTAATTTATATACCTACAATTGAAAAAAAATGCCAATAGCCTTAGGTATTTAGTAACTTTCTGTTACCCTAAAGGTGGGACTCTTGCTTCCAGTGTTTGTACCTTGTGACTCTGTCTCTAAATAAATGACAGTGATTTTTGTGTCTCTACAGGGTAAATTATATTATATTTTCTTGCTTTAGAAATGTAAGTTTTTATATTTTAGTATTTTTTGAAATGGAGATGTATTTTGCTGTGTCTATATTCAACATATTTGTGAAATAGATACTATGTGTTAAAGTCAAATGTATCTCAGAATTGAGGTAGTATGCTATATGCATATGGGCTTCAAAGGCCTCCCTTATTACTTCCTTTTTTAATATAAAGTATTTAAGCATATGTTAATAATAGCTCATTTTCTACATAATATAGAAAAAAGTGTTATGATATAGAAGTTGTTGAAGTGTGAACAAGCAGATTTGAGCTTTAATTTTGGTTTCGTTAGCAACTTGGTGTATAACTTGGTCACTTCCTCTTCCTGGGCTTTAGTTTCCTCATCTGTAAAATGGAGGGAGAGGAAAACTTTTAAGTCTGTCTTCCTTGAGCAAGCTGTATGAACTTTAACTAAAAACATAGATTCTTTAGAAACCTATCTTAAAAATTGTATTATTGCTTTTTACTATTCTTTTTCCTATCTTCCCTCACTGCCCTTTTTGTCATGGATCCTTGGGGTTATTGTCAGATTCTTAATTTATTAAAGAAGATAAATTGTTTTTAATATCCTACATTTACGAAGACAGTCTATCTTAGAAAGTAGATAACCAGAAAATAGTTAATGAATGAATGAATTAATGTTTT